GATAATACTGATAATAAGAAGAATGGTAGTACGGTTCACAATAATGGAGTTACTACTAACTATGTGGTAACTAGAAGGGAGTATGCTTTAGTAGCATCGCGGCTCTTGGAGTTTAGGTTCTAGGGGAGGCTGAAGAATTAGTATAGTATCCCCCTGTTGTCCCGAAATAGTTATGGTAGGACGTCAGGGCATATCCCAGAATGCCGTTCACATGTATGGAGGCCCGGACACTCATGCATTCAACGCCAAGACAAACACTCCTCAGCATACTTCTGGTCCGTGTTGGTCTGATTCTCACTTCTGTGCTAGAACTGAGGCGACGACGATCTTGACAACCGAGACCAAGATCCACAGCACTAGGAAGATGACCATCAGCACTGCCATCGCCATCGCCACCCCACAACCAGCCTGCCATCAAACAACGACACCACCGACCGACCTACTACCATACTTACTAGTCTTATGATGAGTCGGTAGTAATGGTACTGGTAGTGGTAGTTATAGAAGAAGTCATCGTCGTCGCAGTAGCAGGAGTGCGAGGAGCGGTTGAGGAGAAGTAGAAATCAGAGGAGGGGTAGTAGCTCGTCTCAGTCGTAGTCGCTCCTGAGAGACTTCTGTGCTCGGTCGAATGCAGATTCCAACACGCAGCCCTTGCTGGGACGCACGTCGCAGTAACAGTCCCTGCACAGCTCCGGGAGCCTAAGCCGTGCCTATCCAGGTGCAAGCATTGCAGCCAGCTTCCCGAGCAACAAGAACCGCCGGTTCAGCCAGCAGCTCAGAAGTTCTGCCTGAATTCAGGAAACCAATGCATGGGGCTTCAACATGCGGTGCTGGAAGCGAAACTCTCAAACTTTCCCTAGCCCCGCATCTCAAGTGTCCTCATCTACAGTACCAGGCTCCATCATGGCCTCGACACCGGCAGAAGCCCCTGCACAGAAGCTGGGCCCTCCAGTGAGCCTGCTGCTGAGCCGCCCCTCCAAGGACAGCTTTTCATTAAGACCTCACCGTGTAGGGGTGTGAGGTGTGGGTTCAGCCATGCAGGACGTGTCAGCGCCGTTTCGAATTCCTCATTTTTTACCGCCCTCGAAACCGCATCAGCACGTAAGGACACCATCTGGGACGGTTGTGGGGGGGAGCAACCTGTGCATCGGCAATTTCCGGTACGGCTGTTGCATGGCAAAGCCAGGTTCAATACTTGAGCACAGCACGACTTTCGCAGCTTTGCTCGTACACGCCGCTGCACTGGCAGAGCAGGACAGGATCTCCGTGACGTCGGCGGTCAACAGCAGCTCCTCAAGTTTCGCTGCCATCTCCACGAGCTCCAGCCCAGCGCTCAGCTAAGAATCCAAAAGCTGTCGGCTAGATCCATGCCCACATATGGGAGTTTCCGAAAATAGGGGACCCTAATATAGTACCCCAAACAGTAGGATCTTCATCATAAGGACCCCAAGATAAGGTACCCTAATTTTCGGAAACTCCCATATGCTCACCGACCTGAAGAGCGGTGAGACGCTCGCGCAGTAAGCAAGTCCGCCTTCGAAGCATTCGACACGTCCTTGGTCTCGGCGTGTCTACACGCAAACTGGACTCTGTGGAAAGGAAACCACCACGCTTGGTGTGGTGGTGTCGACAGGGTTTCAGGCAATTTTCGACTGGCACCGGCATCCAGCTGTACAATACAGTTGTTTGTAGTGCAGTAACAGTGCAGTACAATGCAGTAGCGTGTCATATAACAATAGTAATAGCAATAAAAAACCACTAGTACGAAGAGAACAACGCCAGTGGCAACAACAACGATCCGATAGGGTATTCAATAGGGGTGCTTGAAGCTTGTATTTTCTGCTTCCGAAGCCAGCAGGCAGCGTTTCTCCACTACTGTACTCCTGTTGGTATCAGCTGCGTCGCTTTCTCGCTCAAGTGTGCAAGGAGCACATGCGGGAATGTCAGAATAAATCAACTGCTTTTGATATCTTTGGATGCCCTTACAAGTTCCCAGAGAGCCCATTCAGAAACTTCTATAAGGCCTAATAAAAAGCCAAACAGACCGGTTAAACCCTAAACCCTTATGTGCAAGCCTTTATGAGGCAGGCCTGTCTGCAGCACAGAAAGGGTCGATGCATCTTAAAAAAAAGAAGTACGATGTTGAGTCTCGTTGCGACTTTCGAGGCTCCGAGGAAAACGCAGAGTCGTCGGATGATGATCTCGAGGCAAGGGCTCTACGGAGCTTTACGGGTGTTCATGTGGGTTTGGAAGGCGGTGTTGTATGTCGGAGCTGTTACATTGGGGATAGGTTGGGTTTGGTTAAGAATGCATAGTGCCTGATAACATTGTTTTGTGGTATAGGCTCTTTTGTGGATTTCTACTAGGGTTTTAAAGTGAGGGCTTGGGGGCTTTGTGGGTCAGTCGCATCAGGGCAGTTGCAAAACTTGATTCCGTCCGTGGAAGACGAAGCCTTTCATCTCCGCACCTCGCCGGTAGGATTTACTAAGGGCTTCATACCGCAGCGGTTTATAGGTCACAATCAGATTGTATAGAGGAAGTATTTCAATGGCCCTTCGGCCCTCCTTTTTTGCGGCTCTGCTCGATGTCGAACCAGGACTACTCGGGCAAAGGCATCGACCTGGCCGTGTTCCACCTGATTTGTGCCAAGCTCGTGGCCGACGTGCGGAACCCAGGAAGCTGCTGTTGCCTTCCGATGGCTCCCAGGTTCCTATAAATCATCATGGTATGACATACAACTCCCCCCAAAAAAAGAAAGAGATACAAATTCCAGCTATATTTGGCCTACATGACAATGACATGATCCTCAGTCGTCGGTCTTGCCAGACCTGAAAAATGTTCCACTCCCCTGGTCTTTCGCAGCCTCGGGCTTCGAGCCAACGATTTCAATCCGGAAGCTCTGACCATGAAGAAGAGATGCCTCTTGGGTACTAACAACAGAGTGCGAACCATCTCCCGCCAGAAATTGTTGCTTTGTACCACTATATCCTGCTCGCCGGCATCCCATGGCGCGCGCGGCCCAGCGACTGACGCATTTGTGCGGGCTCCTCCGCGCCACCAATCGCCAGCCGGCAGTGCGATTCGCGCGTTGCGCGTCGACGGCAAGGGAGGAGCACTTCCTGGATGTAAATGGACGACGCTTGCAGCTGGGCTGCTTACGAGAAAAGCTTCTTCTCACGTCGTGACATTTGCATGAGCTCTCGCTTCACTCGAAGCCCTGAAAAGGTACGTGCTGACGGCAGGAGACCTCAAGGGCTCACAAGGCAGAGTTCGACAAGCCTAGGGCCATTTTCACTTAGATTCCTCCATGAGGGAGGCTGAAAGCCGTATGGATAGCAGGAGGACAGATGCTAGCAACAGACGGAGGGGATTAGGGCCACTTTGGAGCTCCTGCGCAGGTCTGCCGGTAATATGTCTGCCTGGTGCAATGGGGACAGCTGAGACGGACTGACAAGCGTGCAAACAATTCGGTCGGGCTCGCCTCCGTTCAGAATCTGTCTTCTTCCCTGGACACTCTTGCGAAACCCCCCAAACCTCTACACCCCTAAACCCTAGAGGACTTTGCTGGGCAGCTGGATGGGCTCTCGCAGAGACATGCTGTGGTGGCCTTCGACCCGCGAGGCTACGGAAAGTGTGAGCCTCAGGACTCATACTGCCTGGTGTTTCCGGAAATCTGGAGTCAGCTCTACAGTTTAGAAGTCCAAAAATCCACATAGTAATGGCAATGATAATAGTGGTAGGAAATAATAATCAGAGTTGCAATAATCACAACAGTAGCAACATCCCCTTGCAGTCCTACAAGGCCCACCAAGATGTTCCATTCTACTTCTTAAGGCCCCCGGCCCCCCGCCCGCACCCCTCTCCGGCTCACCGAGGTCGCGACCGCCGAACAGAAGGTACCCGGCGGATTTCTATCACCTCGACGCCTCGGATGCTGGAGCCATCATGGATTCGCTAGGCGTAGAGTAGGGGGGTTAAGGGGTTTTGAAGGGGGTTTCGGGTTTCAGCATCGTCATGTTTCAGAATTTCGCGTTAACTACATCGTCATCGTTATCCTCGTAGTTTTCAACCGCCATCGTCACATCAACCTATCATCGTTGAGCCATTCCTAAGACTATTCCTACTACTGCGACCTCCAATACCACTACGGACTGCCACAGCTTCCTCTTATGACCGTTGCCTGCCTGCTACTCTTACTACTACTGGCAGCATTGTGTTGGAGCTGGTTGGCCTTTGCTGCTGTTTCTGTTGCGGTTGCGGTGGTGGCTGTTGTTTCTGTTGCAGTGGAGTGCTCGCGGGGAATGCATGCTGCAAGCGAGCGTCATTGATTCGTTTTGTAGCTTTTTGCAGGCCTCTCGGTCAGTGTGTTTGAGAAACGTGGCCTGGCCACTGCATGCCTATCTTAACTTTACCATGATTCTGAGTTGAGGCCTCTTCAGGCACAGCCGCCACTGCACTTTTCATACCTTTCTCCCTCAGAGCAGGCATCGGCTCCTACAACGTCATCGGATGGAGCGACGGCGCCATCTCTGCGACCATCCTGGCCTCCCAGAGGCTCCAAATTTACATAATTTTGGGGAGTTTGGGGGTTCAGAGCAGACATTTCCTCTCTCCAGAACTCGGGGACCCCAAGGCCATAATTAAGCAGCAGTTGTTTTTGTTTTCTTGCTGTTTTTCAGTGTTTGTTGGAGGGTGAAGGGGGGGGTGGCTGCTCTCAGTTTCTCCTGCTCAGTTGGCTCGGTGATCTGCAACACTCCAGGTGAACTCACAACCTGAACGGTGGTGAGAGAAGCACTGATGCGCGTGTGTGTGTGTGTGTGTGTGCGCATCTATATACACATATGTTTATATTTATTTATTTATGGATATATTTATCCTTATTTATATTTGTATTTATATTACATGTATTTATTCATGTTTACATATTTGTTTATTTAGTACGTATATGTTGTGTTATGTTGGATTGTATTGTGTTGTGTTGTAATGTGCTGTATCGTAATGTGCTGTCTCGTATTGTACGGTATTGTCTTGGATTGGAAAACTGTACATATATGTGTGTGTGTATATATTTTTATGCATGTATGTATAGTGTGGGGTTCGGTCCACAAGCCCCAGTAGGTTGACTGCTCAATTCGTCTCGACCTGTCGATCAGCATGCATTCCGAATGGTGTCAGGCCGGAGGCTGTCAAGAAATTGGCCGTCTTCGGCATCCAAGGCGAGTTGAGTTGTGCTGTGGCGGGAGCTTTCTAACACAAGGCTGAGTTGTCACATGGGGGATGATGATGTAGCAATAAAGGCAATGAGAGTCATAGCAGTTACCATGGTTAAGATGAGAGCTGACCTGAGCCGCAGGCTCCATAACGAAGGAAGATGTTGATGCTTACGAGGACGGGCGTTTCTCCTTGCACAGGTTCTCGCAAGCATCGGCAGCATCTGTGTGGCAAGCATTCCCGTTCGCATCATTCCAAAACAGACCATCACGCCGACAGCATCGCATCATTGTCATCATCGTTTCTCACCACCGCCACTACCAACAACAACATGACGACCACGACCGAGACGACTGCTCCTGCCCCTGCTGCTGCTGCTGCTGCTGCTGTTGCTGTTAGTTACCTACTACTACTGCTGCTGCTGCCGCCGTTTTCTTCGTCAGCAACATTACAAGTACGACCGTCAGTATGTTCATCATCATGATCCGCATAATCGGTAACGCACCGTTGTCATCATTACCGGCAACTGCCGGCAACTCCACTAGGTCAGAATCCGGTAGCTATTTCATCCTTTTTACCGTAGCCGGTCATAGTCACCTCGCCTAGGTAACGGCGGTCAGCAGAAGAAAAAGTATTCCATAGTAGCATCGCAGAAACATGCAGCAACCAATCTTCATCTGCATTGTCAGCAGCCCAGCAGAGGGCCTACGCGATGTGGAGAAGGCTTGGAGCAAGCGAATGCTCGAAACACATCGGCCAGCCACTTGACTCTGCGTCAACTGCTGCGAGTTTTTCTCAGGCTCGCAGTCGTTGTAGGCCGGGGCTCGCACAAAAAGGGAGGTAGGGCTCAGCCTGAGTCCCGGGCTTCGGGCTCAGAGAATGCGATCTCAGGTCTATGGCGATGACCTTCAGCCGATGTGGAGCTCCTTCTGCGATGCTGCTCGATGGACATCGTGGCTTAGGGGTAACGTTCCGGTGGATAGGCCTTCTGTGATATGGGGCGAACACCTGAGAAAGTGCACCTTTTCTGTCATTCTGCAGAGTTTGAGGCCATGAAGATGATGTATGATGCTGGAGGGGACATCTGCCAGAAGGAGGCAAAGCAAGTGAAGTGTCCAACTTTCATCCTGCACCCCGGCACTGATTTTCTGCTGTTGAAATGGTGTTGCGATAGTAGCGGATGTGGGTTCACCAAGGGTCATGAACTCAACACATGAATGTCGACCTAAGTGCCTGGACTACTAGGTAGCAAGCACGGGTTGGCGATCTGCAGTCCCGGACGTAAATTGAAGAGCAACACGAAAATCCCGAAATTCACAATGGCATCATGCACACCTTGGAGCATCTTGGAGGGGTTCTGTGAGAGAGCCTTGTTGCATTGAGGTTGGAGAGGGTACATCGTGCCTCAAGTGCCCCCATTCATGGCCTTCATGGGGTGCCCACAATTAAAGGTCGGAATAATTACCTATGTTATTCATGAGGGTTCTTGATTTTGCATTTCTACTATAGTTCAGCCCAAAACCACCGTAAGAATATTATGAAGGTCCCTTTATTAGACAGCAAAGCTACCACTGGCAAAGGCATGGGGCCAAAGATCCCCTGGTGCCTTCGCATCACCCGGAGTGGTTCCACCAGGCGATCGCGGGCTCCAAGCTTCACGTCTTTCCCGCGCCCAGGCACAATCTACCACAAGATACCTTAACAATTCATGTTCGAGTCATACTCTACCACAGACAGCTGGCATGGCCAGCGCCGTTTGGGCCAAGAAAGTTTGAGTTGAGTGGACACTGGGCCGAAGCATGCAGAAGCCTTTCTAGCGGTGGCGTTGGGAGCAGCAGCAACAGCACTACCAACTACAATGTCCGCAGCAAGAGCAACGACCACAACCACGGAGGCTACGACGAGGACGCGATAACCTGGACTGTGGCTGGGACACGACAACGACAAGAACCACAAAAGCTAAGTCTGAGGTTGTCATCACATAGCCGTGACGACAACGATGATGAGCATAATGATGGTAGTGCTTGTGCTGCTGCTGGCCCGGCTGCTGTTGAGCAGGAGGAGGAGGTCGAGAGGACCAGCATCACGATGATTAGTCTGAGGATGATGACGACGAGGTAGATGATGATGACGGTGACGACAGTGAAGAGGGTCCTCTCGGTCTCTGTGATTCAACTCTGGCCCTTTCCAGCTTTGCTATTCTTTAGGCTACAAGCTTTTTCGTCATCCTGGATTTATTGGTCATTCTGTTTGGCGTCTTGCCTCTCAGGAAGGCAAGCACAACATTCATCAGAAGTTTGCTGACGAGTTCAACAAACTGCTTCTGGAGTTCTTTGCCGAGTAGGGTGCCTGAAAAAGCAGCGTGGCTGCCGTACGTGTCAGCTTTGCTCTCGACATTTATGGCACAAGCCCATTCTGCGCATGCGAGGTGCACCCCCCCTTTTCTCCACCATGACAGGGTGTTGAAGTATGCAGGGGCCTTCGTGCTGGACACCGGCTGCTGGCCTTAGCCCAAAAAAGCGCGTGTGAATCGCGAAGAGCTTCTGATCTGCTGCACCGCTCCGTTTGTTGAGCAACTTCGACGTCGAGCAAGCGAGCAAGTCGCAAGAAATTCCGCTTTACATTCGTCTTCTGATGGGCCTTGAGTGGCCTGACAAAGAGTACTGCGAAGGTCCGTCTGCCCAGCTGAGGCCAAGCTTGCTGTGAGGGCCAATGCAGGGCGAGGAGCCCAGGTTTTCCGGAAAATCATTGCATGGACCTAGAGGGAGGTGTGATCTGCTTTTATTGAATGGAGGTACACGATGGAAGAGGTGTCCATGATGCGAGAGAAGTCCGGGACTTTGCACTGCTGTCGTGAGACGCTTCCTCATGGCACGGCTTCTCCTTCTCAACACAAGCTGGAGAGTCGGCCACGCAGGTTTGCAGTGTATGATGCAGATGGCAGCGGTGACATCGACAATCACGAGCTTGCCAAGCTTTTTCAGGAGCTTTCAAGCCTTGAGCCGCTCGAATGCTAGCTTTTGACAGGTCTACTGCTTTCGAGTGGAAGGGATAATGATTACATTACGCTTAATTACTCTCCTGGGCTTTCTGCGGGTTTCTTGAGCAGCTTCTTCACGTTCCATTTCGGCCTCTTCGTGACCAAAGTCTTCGTGTCTCCAGCAGCCTAGCAGTGAAAATTATTGGCATTATTGGTATTGATACGAGTTATCATATTATGATTAATACAAATACTACTATTGGTATTGGTGTCCATGTTCGTATTCAGTACGATGTTGTTCTATCCAGCCCTACTGCCAGGACCTTTGCCCCGACATGTCGTCGAACATGGCCAAGCGGTCGGAAGTTGCGAGAATACTCACAGAGGCGCGTTTAGGGTTTAGGGGCGCTCATGTCAGTGGAAGGTGCCAGCACGACTGCTAGACCCTGAGCCTTAAACATTAAAGCCTAAAACACCCCAAAAAGCTTTCCACCACAATCCTAAAGCCCTAACTCCCTAAACCCTTAGCTTCCCAAAACCCAACAGCCCTTAGCTTCCCAAAAAACCCTAAAGCCCTTAACTTCCCACAGCCCTACAGCCCTAAATCCCAGAGGCCCTTCATGTGGGTGGTTGTCAAAATCAGGGCCCCTTTTTGGGCCCTTAATATCATACGGCACCTAATATTTAGGGTACCCCAGAAAGGGGACCAACATTTTGACAGCTACCCACTGTGTGAAGGTGGATCCCGACAAGACGGGATCCTTGGACTTCCCGGACTTCCTGAGGCGGCTCCAGGGTTCAGGGCTTAGGATCTTGATTTTTTATTTGTTGCTATGAGTAATGGTAGTAGTAGTCGTCGTCGTCGTAGTAGTAGTAGTGGTAGTGGTAGTGGTAGTGGTAGTGGTAGTAGCAGCAGGAGTAGTAGTAGTAGTACTAGTACTAGTACTAGTACTAGTACTAGTACTAGTACTAGTAGTAGTAGTAGTAGTAGTAGTCGTCGTCGTCGTCGTAGTAGTGGTAGTGGTAGTGGTAGTGGTAGTGGTAGTAGCAGCAGGAGTAGTAGTAGTAGTAGTAGTAGTAGTCGTCGTCGTCGTAGTAGTGGTAGTGGTAGTGGTAGTGGTAGTGGTAGTGGTAGTGGTAGTGGTAGTAGCAGCAGGAGTAGTAGTACTAGTACTAGTACTAGTACTAGTACTAGTACTAGTACTAGTACTAGTACTAGTAGTAGTAGTAGTAGTAGTAGTAGTAGTAGTAGTAGTAGTAGTAGTAGTAGTGGTAGTGGTAGTGGTAGTGGTAGTGGTAGTAGTAGTAGTAGTAGTAGTAGTAGTAGTAGTAGTGGTAGTAGTGGTAGTGGTAGTGGTAGTGGTAGTGGTAGTGGTAGTAGCAGTGGTAGTAGTAGTAGCAGCAGTAGTAGTAGTAGTAGTAGTAGTAGTAGTAGTAGCAGTAGCAGTAGTAGTAGTAGTAGTAGTAGTAGTAGTAGTAGTAGCAGCAGCATACTTGTTGTCACGATTGTTGTCTCTGTTACGAGGATCATCGCTGTAGCTATTATGACTATGATTACTGTTGTTATTATGGATACAGCCTTTTTGTTGGGATTGTTGATATCATTGTTTCTAATACTAGTATGGGTGTTATCATTACCGTTACTATCATCCGTTTGATTGCAACTACTATCATTGTTGCTGCTGTTGCTTTTACTGTTGTTGTTGCTGCTGCTCTTGCCGTTGCTCTTGCTCTCGCTGCCGTTGCTGCTGTTATTGTTGTTGTCACTTTACTATCGTTGTCATTCTCGCCAGTAATATTATGTTTATTGCTCGTGTATTCTGACTCTTCTTTTCGTACGGGTCATTCCTGTTACTGTTGGGTTCAGGGTTAGTCATGCACCTCAGTCGTCTCTGTCTGGCGCATCCAGATGCAACGTGCAGCTCAGCACGATGTGAGAAGCTCTATGTTCAGTGCGGCTCCAAAACTTGATTCTGTTCGCATCGCCCATGACGCCAGCATCGCGACTGTCGCCAGGCTAATGCGTCAGGTGGACGACATGCAAGACCGCCTTCGTATGGCGAAGGAGCCTCCGCTGAGATAGGTTGCAGGACATTATTAGCGTTGTTCAAAAGGTCCGCCCCTGTGCAAGTTTCACAGCCTGTTCGGGTTCGGGGCTGGTACACAATCCCTTCTGGCAGGAAGCATTCGCCGTGGAGAAGACCAAGTTTTCATCGCGGGAGGCTGCAAACATAGACACTGCCATGCACACCCAGTTCGGATCTTTTGACTTGTCTTTTGCATACACTCTGGCAGATGCCACAACTCAGTCTGGGGCAACCCCTGGCTACACGCTAAGATGCCGTAATTCTTTTGTATCAGTATGTCGTAAGCCTTAGTATTATAGTATTGTTACTATCAGTATTAAAGGGCCCTTATAGAACCTTTAAAGGGGCCCCTAAAGAACCCTTAATAGTTCACAGCTTCTCCCAGAGGTGGAGGAGTTCCGACGGATCTTTCTCGGCGAGGCCCGGATCCAATCTGCTGTTCTTTTGCCGCCCTTTTCGAGCTCTGGCCGCCCAGAGCCGTTGACGAGGGTAGATTACCCTATTTAGGGTTACTTTAAGGGGATCTGTAAGGGTTACTATAAAGGGGTCTATAAGGGAATACCATAAGGGATCTGAAAGGGTACTATAATAATTGGAGGGTCATGGGTATAAGTGGGGTTATCAGTCCCCTAATGGGTAAAAATTATGGCTACCCTACTTATATCTACCCATGAACCTCCAAGTAGGGTTTAGGGATAGGGCCTAGGGTTTCGGGATGCTAGTGTTATCATTGATCAACTAGTAAGGCGCCCAGAATATGCTACACGATCGATTCTACAACGTACTAGAATATAATGTAATCGAATGTCCGTATATTCCTGAAACTAGTAACGCCCCCCCACATTACTTGTCATGCCCTCTATCTTATAGTAGCTCTTATAGTAGCCCTTGTAGGCGCCTTTAAAGGAGCCCTTATTGGAACCCTATTCTAAGTAGTAAGGCCACCCTAAACCCTAAACCGCGCGCGTGCCAGGAATCCGAGGACGGATCGATGCGCGGCCTCTTGAGATTGGATGAGGCTCTTTGGGGCTAGGGGGTTTAGGGTTTTAGGGTTTAGGGTTTTAGGGTTTAGGGTTTTAGGGTTTGGGGTTTGGAGTTTAGGGTTTCAGATCACCACGCGTTGTTCATATGCATGTGGGGAGAGGGGTTGTCAGCTTCAGCGGAAGTTTACAAGTGTCGGCTAATCAATTGCGGCAGGGGTTCCTGCACTTCGCATTTGTTGTGGTAGTGGTAGTGGCGGCAGCATTAGTGGGCATGCTTACATACATTACTCTATACGGATGCATCTTTCTATGTTTGATCATTTCTGCCACGCCTGCAGTATTTGGAGATGGTCGGGCCGGTGGTCGGACTTGGAAAAGCAAATCTGGACGAATTGCAGGCTGCCCAGATTGCGTCCCCATGCTGCTGTTTCCTGCCTGTGCTGGATTCAATTCGACAGTGCACCGTTCCATGCCGAATTCATCAGCAATGATAGCACCGCAAGGGTCCGCGATGTTCCTCAACAGTCGCCTGTCTTGCTGAGGACTCGCCTCTTCTTCGACATTGACTCCCACATGCATGAAGAGTACAGGGAGAAGGCCGAACAGAGCAAAGGATGTGTTGGATTGTGGCGTGATTGGCAGGAATTCTTGGACGGCTTGCAGACATGTAACCCCTGCTTTCGTTTCCCAGTTGTTGCGTCTCCAGCTGCTGCAATTGTCGAGCTCTCCCGAAGCCCGACTGCAGAGGTCGTCGCACCGCTGAGTCCCAAAAATCAGCGATATGAGACTTGGACACTTTAGAGATTTTCACAAGGCTGTGCGGCTGTGCAATGGCGATGTGTTGCTTTCCCGCCTCGACTTTCTTGTGCGAGGAAAGCATGCCGCTCAACAGGCCACGCAGCAAGCTTAGTCAAGTTTGGCTGTGGGTCTTCAGAGCAACGCATCCAAAATCGCACGAGCACTACTGAGGAATCGCTGTGGACTTCCCAGAATTCTTGATCCTCATGCGTGCCGGCCAAGTGTTGTCCTTCGCTTTGGACTCGTGTCTCACTGTCGGAACATCGGCAAGCACTCTGTTCAAAGTGTGGAGCTGGAGTCCAAGCGCTGCCAGGCAGATGCTGCTGGACAAGAATGCCTGCCGAATCAAGGATCCGCGGAGTTGCATAACGCATGTACCCGGCCCTGTGGCGTGCACCGAAGCGCTGATGCGGTACACATGGATGCTACTCGTGGCGCACCTGCTGAGCTTGACTTGCACCAGGAGCAGAGCAAGCTCATCGCTGACCTCGGGCAACGAAACTCCGTGCTGCAGGTCCAGGTCCGTCGACCTTCGTGGAGGTTGCGGGCTCAGTGCAGAAAAGGTCAGCAACTACAGCAGTAGCAAGAGATCCACGAAGAGCCACGTCTGGCAATTTCTGGTTGTGTTCCTCGATGTTCCTCGGGAGCATGGGTGTGGCACAGCTTAAGCACCCTGCCAGGTTACACTGACACGCCGGACGACTGTCTGAGCTAGTGTGCAAAGTACAAACCAGCGCAGATTATATACTACTCCCGACCCCTACTCCAACTCCGACTCTGCTCCTCCTGCTACTACTACTACTACTACTACTACTACTACTACTACTACTACTGCCACTGCCACTGCTACTGTAAGACTGCTGCTGTTGCTGCTACCACTTCACCGTCACCTACTCCGCCTACTCTCCTACTGCTGCTGCTGCTCCTCCGGCTCTTACCATTACTTCTGCTGCTGCTACTCCCAATCCCACTCCTGTTCCATTTCCTACTCTTCCTACCCCTGCAACAAATGCCACTACTACCTACTCCTCCTCGTCCTCTTCCTCCTCCGGCTCGTACACCTACTGCTACTGCTGCTCATACTACGACGACGACGACGACGACTACTATTACTACTACCACCACCACTACCACTGCCACCACCATTACCACTTCCACCACGACTGCGACTACCGCCGCCACCGCCACTGCCACTACCGCTATCGCTACCACTACGACGACAACTACGATTACGACTGCGACTGCTGCTACTACTTCTGCTGCTTCTACTGCTACTCCCACTACCACCACCACCACCACGACGACGACTACTACTACTGCTAGTCCTACTCCACTCCTACTCCTACTCCTACTCCCTCCTACTGCGACTACGACTGCGACCACCACTGCTACTGCTGCTGCTACTACTCCTGCTCCTACGCCTACCCCTACTCCTACCAACCACTCCTCCTCCTACTCCTGCTACTACTGCTGCTTCTGCTGCTGCTCCTCCAGATACTACTCCTACTAGTGATACTCGCAATCCTCCTCCTCCTCCTCCACCTTCACCTCGTCCTCTCCTCCTCCTCCTCCTCGTACTCCTACTTTCACTCCTACTACAGCTGCTGCTGCTGCCACTGCTGCCACTGTTGCTGCTGCTGCTGCCACTGCTGCTGCTGCTGCTGCCGCCCCTACATATTACTGCTCATACTTGTACCTGTGCAACGGGATCAGTAGTGCCAGCAAGACCTTCCTTGAAGTTTCGAGTTAATGCCTCGCTCTCCGTGGCCTCAAGAAGAGGCAGAACGGATGAACCCGCGCCACATGGCGACCCGAACACAGGGCTCCCATTTGCTTGGCTGCAAGTGAAAGGCAAGGCTCAGCCGTGCATCTTTCGAAGCATTGCACCGCAGACCGATACATGTAGGAACTTCCCTGTGGCAAAACTTCGCCAAACATAGACAACTGCCACGACGTATTCGACGAAAGATATGCCACCACACATACACACACACACACACACTAGTGTGTGCCTTAAGCTCTTGGCCACAGGCTTCTGTGCCTTACGTTGGCGATTAGGCAGCTTCTGTAGGGCACCCGCTTCGCTGCTGATGTCGTTCAAGAGAGTACTGTAGTTGCAGACTGGGCGCACAGAGTGTTTTCTGCCATCGTCCCGTCGAGATGCTCGATCACAATGCCACGCCTTTGTAAGCCGGTGGAATGTTGCCGAGTAGTCGATGCAAGGATTTGCAGAAGCAGGGTCTAGCCGCTCAGCGGAGATTCGAGGAAGCCATGCTCGTGCTGTTTCGGATCAAAGCCTGCTCGAGCGTCAGATTATCAGTGTTGGACTCCAAACCATCCCCTCCTACCTTTGCGAAGCCACTCTCCACACCAAGACCGGCCGTAGAAGCATCCGCCCGAAATCGAAATTCGTCGTTAAGACGCATGGATCCCCAGACGCTGGCAGCGACAGCGCCCGTTGAGTTCACGGACATGTCTTGAGGCGGAGCAAGCTCATGAGATCTCTTCTACTAGAAGGTTCGTGGGTAGTTATAAGTGGGGTTACGAGTCCCCTATCGGGTCATAGCCATGGTAACCCTACTTATACCCCCACTTATAACTACCCATGAACCTGCAAGTATCGATCATTAAGGATGATTTCAGCAACTTCGCGTGAGGCCACTTTTCTGCAGTCATGGGTCAAGCTTCTCCGAAGCAGCGCTGGGCCCAGAAAGTTCAGTGCGGATACTACTGTGGAATGACAGGCAAGTGAGTCTCGTAGCCTTCTGTAGCCTTCTGAGGCTTGGATGGGGCCAATGCGGATGTGTGCACAGCGGCCAGGAGGTGGCAAGATGTAGTACCTTTTTCTTGTTCCAGCCGTGCTTGGGCGCTTGGAATGCACGGTTCACACGAATGCCAGGCAACCTTCCTAGAAGCCGACGGGCTCACAGATGGTTTGAGGCGAGCTGGGTGCAGGTGTGCAAAGCACGGGCGAGGGGCAGGGAGACCTAGTCGTCGTCTGAACAGCTGAAGGGGGTGTGGAGGGGTGAAGATGGCTCGCAGCACCATGTATCATATTTAGGCAGCTACCAGGACAGACATTCATTCGAAGACGGCTGTTCCCACACAAACGAGATTCGTCCAGGTACGGCATGCAGCGTGATCCTGATAACCTTGATGCGGTGTTGGCAACCATAGCCCGTCCTTATTTCGTCAACATCATCATCGCCACAGCAGCAGTAGCAGCACCACCGCCACCACAGTCATCATCATGATCATCGTCATCGCTATGGCCGTACTTCATTCATGAGCCTAGGGGTACTTCTCAGCAGGGGTACTTCTCAGCCACTACCGAAGATTTAAGAAGATTGTTGAATTATTTGGAAGATTGTTGAAGAAAAACGAATTATTTGGAAGATTGTTGAAGAAAAATGAATTATTTGGAAGCTTATTGAAGAAAAACAAATTATTTGGAAGATTGTGGCAGAAATGCGAATTATGTGAGGGTTTCAATTTGAGGCTTAAACACGGTTTAGGGTTTAAGGCTCATGGTTTAGGCTTCCTGGCACGGCTCGAGGACCTGCCAAAATGGAACACCGAGGTTTAGGGTTTAAAGATTCTAGGTCTAGTATTGGTCAGCTTCGGGGCCCACAAAGTTTAGGGTGCCAACTTCCGAGGTTCAGGGTTTAAAGGTTTAGGGTTTAAGGCTTACGGTTGTTCGGGTCTAAAGGTGTAGGGTTTAGGGTTTAGGGTTTGGGTGAAAACACCCACTTTGTGGGAGTACTAGAGTTGAAAACAAATATGAGTAATCGAGTAGTGAAGTAATAGAGTAATAGAATAATAGAGTAGTAGACTAATAGAGTACTAGAGTATTTGAGTAATAGAGTAATAGAGTAATAGAGTAATCGAATAATAGAGTAATGGAGTAACAGAGTAATAGACTATGTGTGTGGAAAATTGAAACCCTTTGCTATGTTCGCGAAGCGAAAACTTTTTTTGTTTTTTATGCAAAATTCATGCAAATGCTTTTGGTGCGAGTGTCTGGAGCAAGCCTTGTAGTGTGTGTGGAGTACTAGAGTTGAAAACAAATATGGATGTTCGCGAAGCGAGGAAATTTTTTGTTTTTTTTATGCAAAATTCATGCAAATGCTTTTGGTGCGAGTGTCTGGAGCAAGCCTTGTAGTGTGTGTGGAGTACTAGAGTTGAAAACAAATATGGATGTTCGCGAAGCGAGGAATTTTTTTGTTTTTTTATGCAAAATTCATGCAAATGCTTTTGGTGCGAGTGTCTGGGGCAAGCCTTGTAGTGTGTGTGGAGTACTAGAGTCGAAACCAAATATGGATGTTCGCGAAGCGAAGATTTTTTTTGTTTTTTTATGCAAAATTCATGCAAATGCTTTTGATGCGAGGGGCTGGCGTCTGGAGCAAGCCTTGTAGTGTGTGTGGAGTACTAGAGTTGAAAACAAATATGGATGTTCGCGAAGCGAGGAAATTTTTTTGTTTTTTTATGCAAAATTCATGCAAATGCTTTTGGCGCGAGTGTCTGGAGCAAGCCTTGTAATTAGTGTGTGTGGAGTACTAGAGTTGAAAAAAAATATGGATGTTCGCGAAGCGAAGAAATTTTTTGTTTTTTATGCAAAATTCATGCAAATGCTTTTGGCGCGAGTGTCTGGAGCAAGCCTTGTAGTGTGTGTGGAGTACAAGAGTTGAAAACAAATATGGATGTTCGCGAAGCGAGGAAATTTTTTGTTTTTTTTTATGCAAAATTCATGCAAATGCTTTTGGTGCGAGTATCTGGAGCAAGCCTTGTAATTAGTGTGTGTGGAGTACTAGAGTCGAAACCAAATATGGATGTTCGCGAAGCGAAGAAATTTTTGTTTTTTTATGCAAAATTCATGCAAATGCTTTTGATGCGAGTGTCTGGAGCAAGCCTTGTAGTGTGTGTGGAGTACTAGAGTTGAAAACAAAATATGGATGTTCGCGAAGCGAAGAAATTTTTTTGTTTTTTATGCAAAATTCATGCAAATGCTTTTGGTGCGAGTGTCTGGAGCAAGCCTTGTAGTGTGTGTGGAGTACCAGAGTTGAAAACAAATATGGATGTTCGCGAAGCGAGGAAATTTTTTGTGTTTTTTTATGCAAAATTCATGCAAATGCTTTTGGTGTGAGTGTCTGGAGCAAGCCTTGTAATTAGTGTGTGTGGAGTACTAGAGTTGAAAACAAATATGGATGTTCGCGAAGCGAAGAAATTTTTTGTTTTTATGCAAAATTCATGCAAATGCTTTTGGCGCGAGTGTCTGGAGCAAGCCTTGTAGTGTGTGTGGAGTACTAGAGTTGAAAACAAATATGGATGTTCGCGAAGCGAGGAAATTTTTTTGTTTTTTTATGCAAAATTCATGCAAATGCTTTTGGTGCGAGTGTCTGGAGCAAGCCTTGTAGTGTGTGTGGAGTACTAGAGTTGAAAACAAATATGGATGTTCGCGAAGCGAGGAAATTTTTTGTTTTTTTATGCAAAATTCATGCAAATGCTTTTGGTGCGAGTGTCTGGAGCAAGCCTTGTAGTGTGTGTGGAGTACTAGAGTTGAAAACAAAATATGGATGTTCGCGA